GCTTTTGCCTGGCTCTATTTTGTTTTGTTGTATTGTAGTTTTTTTGTTTGTTTGGTGTGTTTTGTTTTGGTTTTGTTTTTTTAAATTTTATTTAATTTTATTTTATTTTCATTCTCGAAATTGACTTTCAGGGAGCTTTTCTGAATTCACAGCATGGTCCACTTGTGGGAACTCCTGCCTTATGAATCTACTGAGGTCCTTGCCGCGCTGAGATACGCAACCAATGCTCTGTAAGTGCTGATAGTAAATCCAGAGAGCAGATGGCCAGCCCAGTCAATCTTTTTCTGTAGCTGAAGCTGTAGAACCTCTCTAGGAACTGCTGCACAGTAATACAGCAATGAGTGTTTGTGTGACAGGGTTAAGAAAACGCATAATCTGACACTACAGCAAATCCTGTTCCATTTTGTTGTCTGCCTGTAGGAACAGCCCCGTTTTCAGTTGCCTTGATGCTCCTGCAGTGGTGGGAACTGTGAGTTCATGCCTAATGGCAGGTAACTCTCAGGGCACTTACCCCTGACATCCAGGTTTTGACATCATGACACACAGGTTCACCTTTTTCACAGCTCCCTGCACACAGGATGCTACCCCAGAACAACTCTCACGCAACCCAGTGCTCAGTGTGAAGAACATGAACATGGCAATGTGAGCACTTTCAGAAGGTGTCTTATAGCTGGTCTTGATGGATCACTAGGACAGTCATCTACAAACCAGGAGTGTGTCTTAATCTGAGAAATGTTTGCCTAGAGACTGCTCTTTCCTTCCATTAAAAACAAACAAACAAACAAACCCCACACACAAACCCCATAAAAAGCCCCCGAATCTAAAAATAATAAAAAAAGAAATCTAACAATAACCTTTACAACTTGAAACCTCATCCTTTAAGCCTCCTTTTAGAACAGTAAAAGTATTCCCCTCCAAATCCCATACTCACAAACCCGTCACTTTCACTTCATTTCTTATCCAGCTAAATGCATAGGCATCTGGAAATGGAGAAAAACCAGTAACAGTGACCTACCTACAACATCCCATCAGGAAACAACTGAAGGATTTGGAGATTAACAGGCTTATCCAGCACAACACTGCAAAGGGATATCCTGTCTCATTGACTTCTGAGGCTTCGTGTTCGATGGGATTTAAAATGAATCTTTACCCTACGCCCTATAAATCAAAGCAAGCAGCTAAACTCCTTGGTTCTACCCTTTCCTTCACCATATCCAGCTAAGACAGTTAGCAATTTGAACATGCTGTATCTATGCAGTGCTTTGCCTCATCTTAGTGACACCAGTAATAAGAGGGTGTGGCAACCTTTTTTATTTCAGCTTGTGAAGATTCCCTTCCTAATACTCCCGGAAAAAAGATGTCAGAAGGACCTGACCTACCTAGATGAACAGGCACTGCAGTGATACATTTTCAGCATTGATGAACTTCACAGCTGTCGGAGGAGAGAGGAGTAGATGAAAATCTTCAAGACCTTCAGTTTTTGTCCTCTAAAGACAAAAGATGAAGTGTGTTGAGTCAGAAGATGAGATGTGTTGGTCACAGTTCAGGGACAACCAGTGTTTAATCTGCTGTGTGCTTAAGGATATGAAGAAAATGGAGATGTACAAAACACTGTGTGTGGCATGGGGAAATAGCACAAGGTGGGAGAACTGAAGCTGTAAGAGTTGCTACTTTTTGCTCTCCTCCTGGGGCTTTTGAGTCCACAAACCCCTGTAGGGTACTGCCATACCCTGTGGGATTCAGTTAAGACTGATTATCAAGATAAAGTAAATGTCTCCTCTGGGAAGAGGCTTCTACAGGAATACATCATGAAATACCACAGAGGTAATCCAGGGTAAACAGGAATGGAGATGTTTGGAGAGGTCAGGCACCTCTGGCTTTTCTTGGTTTATGTGGGATCAAAACTCATAGCCAGGAGTTAGAGGTAGCACTGTCTACAGTTCTTCCTTGATGAGAATAAAACAAAGGTGCTTTTCCATCACACAGTTAGGTTTCATCTAAAACCAAACAACACAAGGCAACTTCCAAACACAAAGCAAGGTGAAACAACCCCTCAGCCTTGATGGGCAATTCAGCACAGCAACAAAGCAGGTCTTTCCCTTGTCTGCATTGCCTTCCCAGGCCAGCCCCTCTCTTTCATCCTTGTTTTCAGTTCAACAACTTTCCAGGCCCTCCTTGGTTGCAGCAAACTTAACAAAGCCTCTTTCAGGGCCCTAGGTAAAATCTTTCTGCCATCCCTGAAGCCTGTTGTCTTGCTCTTCCTCCAGGAAGCCTTTTGGCTGCAGTCGGCTCTGCCTCTCTGTTCTTTGCATCCCAGCATGTCCCCCTGGGTAGGTCACCTTGCATAGTTTTTGGGGCAGGGGGGACATGCCCCTGTCCCTCAAAAGCTGCTAGCGTTGAGGATGAAGCTGGCAGGGTAAGGCAGCCTGCATCCATGCTGCGGGGGGCCTGTCTTTAAACAAGGGAAAAGCAGCAGTCAGCTCTGAAACAGAGTGTCTCCCTGTCTCTCATGCAAGCAACAGGACTATCCCTGAGCAGTGATAGATGAGGAAGTCACAGACAAAAAATAATTCTCTAGTATATGTGCAACGCGAGATGAGACTACAAATCTTGTTAGGTGGTGGCAGGAAGTATCAGTCAGAAGTCAAATCACACAGGGTTGCAGATTTATGTGCGTATCGAGGCTATGCAGTCTGTCCTCAGCGTAGCCTCATAAAATGCAGTGATCTTTATGGGCACGTGCAGAGATGTAATTGGAACTGTGCAGGATGCAAACTGGATTTGAGTGATTTCTTTTGCATCCCTGCTTTAAGACATGGTGAGGTTGTTTCATTAACAAGCAGAGATAAAGAAAAAAATTCCCCTTCTTGCCCAGTTGCTGGCTTTTTTAAAAAAATTAAATAGCACAGCAAGTCATTGTTTTGGAAGGGCTACAGTTGTGAGGAGATCCCACTTCTCTGCACAAGCACATGGTGAGTATGGATGAAAGAGATAACTAAATGTATAAAAACACCTCTGGCCCAAAAAGTCCTTGAATTGCACATGGTTGACAGCTGAGAGGCTCTTCTGAGGAAATAGCACAAGTACACTGTGCTATGGACTTACCTTATTATCACTGTCCCTTAACATCTCTGTTTAGGCATGACAAAACCAGGCTATGACATGAGATGCACCTTTGATCAGACTTACCCTGGGCTACATCACTCAAAGGCTGAAGGCAGCTCCTGATATTCCACTAACAAACCAGAGAGTTGTCAGAGATGAGAATCCCTTTTTCCTCAAATCCCAAGGCAGATCTTTTTTGTCTTGCTGAATTTCAGGGAAGAGCTCACATAGCAGTGTGAGGAAGTAGGAGTTGTCTGTGATAAGGAGCCACAGAAGTAATGAATCACAGAATCAACTAGGCTGGAAAAGACCTCTGAGATCATTGAGTACAATCTCTGACCTATCACCGCCTTACCAACTAGAGTATGGCACTAAATGCCACATCCAGTCTCTTCTTAAACACTTCCAGGGACGGTGGCTCCACCTCCTCCCTGGGCAGCCCATTCCAATGCCAAATCACTCTTTCTGTGAAGAACTTCTTCCTAATGTCCAACCTAAACCTCCTCTGGTGAAGCTTAAGACCGTGTCTTCTTGTCCTGTCACCAATTGCCTGGGAGAATAGTCCGACCCCCACCTGGCTACAACCTCCTCTCAGGTAGTTGTAGAGAGTGATGAGGTCACGCCTGAGCCTCCTCTTCTCCAGACTAAACAACCCCAGCTCCCTCAACCACTCCTTATAGGGTCTATACTCCTGTCCCTTCACCAGCTTCACCCTTATTTGGACACTCTCCAACTCCTCAATATCCTTCCTAAGTTGAGGGGCCCAGGACTGGACATGGTACTCGAGGTGTGGCCTCACCAGTGCTGAGTACAGGGGCAGAATCACTTCCCTGCTCCTGCTGGCCACACTATTCCCGATACAGGGCAGGATGCCATTGGTCTTCTTGACTTCTGGGGCCCACTGCTGGCTCATTTTCAGTGGGATGTCAATCCAGGTCCTTTTCTGCCTGGCCACTGTCCAGGCACTCTGTCCCCAGCCTGTAGCAGTGCAGGGGGTTGTTGGGGTCAAAGTGCAGCACCCTACACTTAGTCTTGTTGAACCTCATCCCCTTGGATTCAACCCATCTATCCAGGCCTGCCTAGCCATCTGAGGTGTTTCACTAGGAAAACCCAAAACCCTGCACGAAGAGGCAGTGGTCCATTGCATTGGTGCAAGTACCCAGTGCTTTATGAGTACAATAACATGGTTTTCTGTTCCATGGAAAGCACTGGCATGTCTTCAGTACCCACAGGTGTCAGCTGGGCTGCATACAGAGGGAGAACTGGCAGGAGAAGCAGGAGTATTAGCCCACTGTGTGCTCAAAGCTGTTGCTGGTCGTCATGGAGCTAGGCAGGAGAAGGACTGCAGGAAGAGCAGCCTCTTGGATGTCTGTTCCTCTAATGAGTAGCTTCATGAGCAATTCTAGTTATTCAAATGCACAAGGTATGTCCTGGGCAGGCATGGGTATGCTCCACCCTAACAGGAAAGGTGTGTACAGGGTGTGTGGGGAAAGAGCCATGGGTGTGCAGCCTGTGGCACACCAACTCTTGCTCTGAAGGGGCCTAAACCTTCCTAGATCTTTTTCCCCATTATATGAACAATATTTGTACGTGCATTGATAGCATTAGTCTGACTTCTTACTATTAATTTTATGAAATCTCCTTTAAAAAATCTCCAACCAGTCAGTAGTGCTACCAGCCACTTTTGTTTTCAAACAAAACTGGATCCACATTATTCAGAAGAACAGATTCACCTGTCCCCTCACTGAAGTCACAGTACACAGAAATCTGAGAACCCTCTGCACTTCATCTCAGGCTCTTATACACAGTCTGTAGAGTTTTGGGGTTTTTTTGTTAAATGAAGATGTCAAATAATCAAAAGGAACCGCACGTGCACACACAAACAAAAACAGCCCTCATCTGGCAAGGCTCTTTTAATGTTGTACTTTTACCAAACCACAGTACATACTTCAAATAAGGCCTAACAGATTATACTCTTTATAAATTTACAAACAGTTTATTCTCCTTAAAGAGATCATATTACTTTTATCAGTCTTGTGTATTTGAATGATTTATATGTTTATTCAAGCATAACATAGCAAATGTAGCCATAAATCTTGTAGACTAAGTGTCTATAACAGGAATCTCAGATACACTATACTTTCAGATTAGGATTTTTTTTAATATACACATTTTTGTTTAAGTAGGGTAACCGTTATATCCTGGTTATGTGTCCCATGGGAAAATTGTGCTCAAGAAAGAAACCTGTGGACTAGAGTAACTGCAAACAGACAAGCTCTTGGTTCACCTGCCAGGAAATTGGGCCAGCTTTGTAGGCACATAACCCTGGGATTGGCTTTCAACCTGGTTTGGATGGAAGGGGTGAGAGGCTGCTTTCGCTTTCCCAATAGCTAACAGCCCTGGTCTTTTCCTCCACAGCAGCAGGAATGAGATCAGTAAGAAAGGACAATTGCATTTCTATCTCTAACCAACAGCCCAGGTTAATGAGAGCTGGCTGGCTGGTAGAGATCTATTACTCAGATGTGGCATACAAACAGTACTTAAAAAAAAATAAAGGGGGAGTAAAAGAAGAGAGGAAGTAAAATTACCTGCCTCAGTAGCAATTTTCACAGTCTCTTGCTGCTATGTATATGAATCTAATTCTGAGCCCTCATTTGTGTCCTACTCTCTGCTGACCCCTTTTTCTACTCACAAGGCTTACCCATGGACCAAGTGTTTCTAGCCTGCTATCTTGTCGAGCAAAGACAGAGAAATAGGAGCATCTCACTATGCTGTGAAAACACCAATAGTGTCTTGAGGACCTCACACTGATCAACATCACGGGCTGTACAAGGCAGGTGTTTCTGAAGTGTTATATGGCACTGATGGCTTCAATCCATCTCTCAAAGACTGAGAAGTTCCTGCTTGAGCCCAATGTGTCCCTGCCAGAGAACCAATGAGGAAAAAAAAAAAGACACTGGGACAAAACCCAAATCCAAACCATGCAAATTATAGTTGAATAATAAAAATCCAAATCCAAGCCTGTACCCCAAGTCTCCCTTGCAACAGAGACAGCTGATTGCTTTCTGAACTGCAGAACCAGCCATTTCTGTAGCTTCTAAATAACAAGTTTGGCAATAATTACCATGCACAAAGTAAAGGCCACTTATAAAACATCTCCATAAAAATATCTATTTATCTCTATATCTCTATTTATATATGTCAGTAAGAAGTGTCAGACTGAGCACACTCCAAGCACTCCATAATGGGAGGGGGAAATCTAATTCCCAGGAAATTCTGCAGTCTTAGTTAGGGTTGGCATCTACATGTAGGATCTAGTCAGTACAGATAATTTCCATCAGGCTTCTGTTAACCCTAGTCAAACGGGATAGCAGGGTTTCTGGGGAGCTGAAGCCTTTCAGGAACTTCTGTGCCAGAGGAACTCCCTGGACTCAGGCTGTTCAATGTGTGAACCAGTTCACTAGGACGGAAGAGAATTTATGTTCCACCTGCAAGCCAGCCCACTGGTGGGTCTTGATCCACTGAAGAGCAGAGAAAAAGAAAAGATCCTCATTGCTTGTGTATGACTGAGATTGACATGCAAAGCAGATCTATGGAAAACCAGTTCCCTGTGCTTCAGAGTTAATGGGAATCAACCGATGCCTTAGCCTTCTTTGTTCAAGTGACTCTGATTCCTTATCTTAAGCAGCTGAGGCTTCAAAAGATCAGACACAATGCAGGAGTTGCAATGGGGTGAGTGTAATATCTCAGGTTTCCCAACATAGAAACATTTTTTTCCCCTCTCCAAGATGCTGATCCTATGAAAATAAAATTATTTAATAACCATTGTCAAGAATTTTCTTGGATGTACCCATAACTGAAACCTGTAGGAGAATTGACCTGTTGACCCTTTAACACTCCAAGAGACTGAAACCAATTGAGGTTTCTAGAATGTCATTTTTTTTGGTATCCTATTTTGGATACTACCAGCGGCTTTGTATAGCTGCTACAATAGCACAAGGGAAGGGGATGGCTGAGAACTAATTCTGACATCCTGTGGCCCTAAGGAAAATAGATGCTGGCTTTTGCTTGACATTAATTTTATTATCTTGGGATATTTTATTATATCTTGGGAAAATTTGAACTAAGAAATAAAAAATAAGTATGTTTAATGGAATGAGGTGCAGCTGCCTCATTTTCAGAGTTTCTTTGCCAGACGGAGCTGTGATTTTGGAAAAATTACAAAAAGTTATAAAATAATGCTGCAGATGGCAGAAACCATCAGTATTTGTACCATCCTTGTACTTTAGGTCACTGAGTACTATAAACAGATAAAACCCAGCTGCAAATATAACAGAAGACAGGAATTAGTGCTATATAACCCTCCCACTACAATGGTCACATTTTGGGAAGGTAGGAAGGCTTCACCATGGCCAAAGCAGCAAGCACTGCTGGGAAGGAGTTTAAAGATATGAAAGGTGATAAACTTTTCAGTTAGAGGAAACACTTCTGAAGTAAAGAAAGAGATGGGGAAAAAACCTAGATTGCCAGCAAATTTCTTTCCTTGGAGTAGTGTGCAGTGAAGTTTGGAAAAAAGGAAACATTAGATGTGTACGGAGATCCTATGCCTATACCAGAACTGTGTAATGGAAAGGACTTTGCTCTGTGTTTCAAAGTGTGCAGCAAAGGGAATTTCTTTTTGTTACCTTGCCCTATTGCAGTAGTTTCTATTTCAAGGATAAAGGTCCTGTTAGTGCAAGTCACACAAGAAAAATCCACAGACAGACCTTGATTTTGTAACAGAAATAAATTACAACTAGCTGCTGATACTGTGTCCAATGCTTTATGATGGCAAACCATACATGTATTTTTAAACATTTACCCAAAGGACTTTTTTTAAGACAAAGCGGTACTGGGCTATTTGTTCAGCTTGTGAATGATTTATTGACTGTGCCAAGGTCAGGCTCCTTCAGTGACACACGCACCGTAAGCATGAGAATGTGCAGTTTAGAGAATAAACATTAGTATTCAGGGGATGGCTACTTGTCATCTAAATGATTTGTTTTCTGGATGATTCAGGAGTTTGTTGACTTACTCCAGTGACTCTATGTCTGTCTTAAATGAGAGCCTATTGATAACCTACCACCCTGAAAATGGAGTCAATGGGGGAAAACAACATGACTGGACAGGGTGCTACATTATCTCATTTAGGTTCCCTTTCCCACAGAAAGTCAGGCTAGAAGGTCTTCTGTGGTCCCTTTCAACCTGTGACATTCTTAAGATGGGGGAAAGATGACGACAGGGACAGGCAGCAACAGGACCACTTGTTGGGACTTGCAACTGTGCTCTCACCAGTAGCCTAGAGCAACTTGCTGAAGTTTCACATCTTCAGTTGTGTTCTTGCAACAGTGAGCATGTGAAAGATGGGAGAAGCTCAAATATTTTTGCCAAAAAGGCAATGAACACATGGTAATATATAACTGACTGCAGCCCTGTACCTATCCCAAATCCTTAAGTGGAAGACAAGGAATTCTTTCTGGTACAGTTTATTGTTCTGCATGCTAAATATTTCCCTCAAATGGCTTCTGCTCTAGTCTCGTTCCAGTAATTTACTTTTTTCACCTGTCAGAAAATGACATCTACCTACCTTTTCAATAAATTAGAATTTCTTAGAGCAGCTCTTTGCTAGAATCCAGAGTACCAGTTATTGAATATTATCAGTATAAATACCTCTAAATTCTAATAATTGATGTGGTGATAGTTTATCTCTGACCCTTGGAGACAGCAGAATTAATGCTATTAAATCTGAGGAATAAACCATTTGCTTTTCCTTAATACTCTGTTACATACCAAGCAAGAACATTAATCTATGGCAAAGCAAAGGGTACACACTTTTATGTTTGTTGTTTAACTCAGATGCTTTTCATTAAGGAAAAAGTAGCAGAGGGAGCACATGTAAACATTATTGGAAGTTGCTGCATTGCAGAAGAAATGGAATGCACTAAATTAGTTACTTGCTTTTATGTATATTTGCAGAGTATATCATACCCCTTTTTCATAGAACAGTTTGGCTTGTGCTTGAAAATTGCTTAACATTTCTCATGTGATATTTTAAAAATAGAAAACCACTGAGAAGAAATAATTCTCAGTGAAAGAACCACTGATACCAAAACTTTTCTTTTTTTTTTTTTTTTTTTTTTTCACATTAAATGACTTTTTAAAAAGACTCATCTAAAGAAGCTACAAATTGGCAACTTTTCTTCCTGGTTCTTAAGCTGTTGGCATAAGCAGGGTTTTGAGCACAGTGTTTCAAGATGTCTGTTAATATGTGAAAGTCAGAGTTAAAACAACTGTGTTACAGATTGCTAAATAAGTGCTTTTCCATAACTAGGTCCAAGTCTTGTCTCATTGAGGCACCATGTGTGCCTGCTACTGTAGGGCACAGTCTGAGTTTATCTTCAAAATTGCACTTAATTTCAAGAGCGAGTGATTTTGCTAGCACTGCAGACTCATGGATTTGAAGCAAGTTTGGTATCTCATCCACCCCCATTATGGCAGTCATTACCCGAGTGGTGCAGACATCATATCCTGAATAGCCTTAGGTTTTAGAGGTGCATGTGCACACCCACACACTTCTGGCTGCAGTGAGACACATGTGGTGACAGCAAGAAGCAAGGACTTGGTGCCACAGTGTTCAAGTATCACTTTACACTTGAACCTTCACCCACATCTCTTTGTTCTAGAGCTTTTCTCTATAAACGAGAAATATTCCTGTATAAAGCATGGCTCTCCTTCTAGGGGTTACAGCAGTCAGTACAAATGAACAGTCAAAATATGGTATCACATCAGGACTTTGCCACTATTATATTCCACAAAGTAAGTTAAGGTCTTGGATGGATCCAGAGATTTGGTGGGTAGTTAAGGCAATTCACACTGTAGACAGAAAAATAGCGTGGGACAAGCACAGTCCCTCTGACTCAGGTGGTTGTTGCACTGGTGCTTCTTTGCCTAGATTTCACACTCTCCCATTCAAGTGCATTTAACATAATTCTTCTATAAAATGCTTCATGTCATAAAAAGGTTTTAAAGCCCGATAAGGTAGTTTATTAAAAGGAACAGACACAAGTCTGTTGCACTGGGCATACAGTTTTTTTGTTGATTTCAATAAAAGGCTCTCATTCATAAAGGAAAGGACAGAGTTAAGGAAGACAAACAACCCACACTCAGTCACTTGTGGTATGTAACCCTTGTGAAGCTGGCAATGCCACAGGATCTGCAATAACAAATATGAGCAAGATGGATAGCAGACTGCTTGGTGCTACCTGCGAAGTGATCAGAAATGCAAAGAATGCAGAAAGGCAGTAATTTAATTTCCATCCAAACCCTGCTCTCAGACACTCAGCCCACCTCAACAAGTACAGATGTACACTCCACAACACGTAACCCTGATGCAAGAGGAACATATTACTTCAATAAATCTACCCTAGTTTTAGCACCCTCTCTTCCTATGTAGGACTGCATTCTGAAGTCCCTTTTTTCACGTAGTGTGGGTCTTTTTCAAGAGGCCTTTCCAACTTCTGTCCTTTCCAAATTGATTTCCTGGTACTAGAGAAGGCAAAAGTTCAGACATTGACCAGAATATACAAAGCATGAGGAAACACCTGTTAGGGTGATTAAAACAATTAAAAAAGTCGTTTCCCCCCCCCCCCCCGCCCCCTCATTATTTACTGATCTGGTTTCTAATAGAGCTTTAGTTAAAAGGAAAAACATTCACAGAAGATACAATGCATACAAACACGTCCTTCTTTCATTCTAATTTACATGCTGTTGCTTTTAGAAAGTAAGGGTTCTTTAATTTCTCTAGGATGGACAATGACATCTGCTTAACATAATTTAGATTTCACTTTTAAAAAATGACACCCTTTCAGAATGACCATACTTGATGGAGTGTAAAATCATTCATGTGAGAAACCATATTAAAGGCTATTGCTTGTCAAACTGAGATAGCTTCACATTTCAACAGATACCCTGAAAATTAGATGCACCTGTTATTAAAGGACACTGTTTTAATTATACTGAATTTTTATCGGTACAATAAACTTATATGTATACACCACTGCTTCAGCAGTCTTACTAAATTATTTATGATGACCATCCTTTCACATATATCATGCTACCTAGAGCATGATATTAAAATGCTGCCATACCTTTTAAGTGATAACTGCTAGAAGAGATATAAAAGGTACAGGTATCATTTAAGACACAAAAAATACAAAGCAGAAATGCTCCAGTACCAATTAAAGATACATATGCCTATTTAATACATCTGAATTTTCTATCAGTAAATATGGAATAAGTAGTGTGTGAAAGGCTTGATTCAAAACCGCCAGACTGGATTGCAGACTTCCTTTGAGGCTGGGTTGACATGGAAATAAGTTCTCCACTGTTTCAGCTCTTTGGAGCTCCATGTCTCATTACCTGGTGGTCTGCATGTGTTGTGAATGAGAATCCAAAATATTGCTTACATTATTTCACTAACACCAAGAGCCCTAATCGCCATCCCAGTCTTGCTCTCTCCACTGCTGGTGGCAGTTTTGTCATTGTTTCCTGTGGAATCAGGAGTGAACATTTTAGAAACACAACTGGGACACTTCGGTTCCCAAACCAGTACAAGAAGCTACATTTTTCTGCACAGTTCAAATAGGTGAAAGAGCTAAAAAACAGGTATTAAAAGACCAATTATTTTAATATTCTTTGGGGAACGTACAGAGTTTTATAAAAGCAGGACCCACTCTCCCCTCCAACAGATTTTCCCACTACAGGTGTGAGGACAGCACCTGTTAAACAACATGGATTTTTGGCACAAGTAAGAGTGGGTGAAAGAAACTGTGGATGTTATTTCAGCTTTCAATGATAGGCTTGCAGAGGAAGAAATCCTCAGAATAGATATAGTGCTAGCAAAATACACAGACTACTTCTCTGAGCCTGCTCCTGCTTCACTGCCAGCCTGCGGAATGTCCACTGCCTATAATTAAACATATGCCATTCTCAGAAATAAAATACAAAGCAGACAGGCAGGAATTCACCTAAAGTCACCAAATATACAGAGACCAGCTGCCTATACAGAGACCAGCTGCTAATTGATAATATAATGTCTAAGGTCCAGTTTAAGAAGAAACAAGAATTCTAATAATTAAAAGCTTCTAGAGTCATGAAAGTGACTGAATCACGAAAATAAGACAAGAGTGAAGATTACCAGCATTTTAACAGAGCACTAGTGAATTTCACATGTCAAAAAAGGAAACTTTCCAAAGGTCCATAGTGTGTCCAGTCTATGGAGAGGTACAAATGCTTGTGACTTGGTTTCAGAAATTTAAACCCTGTTTTTCTAATTTAAGACACTAATTTATAACTATTGCTTATGCAATGGTCGAAGGTTATTTTCCAGAAATTCTTGCTTTCAGGTTTGTGGAAGATTAGCTGGTAACCTTTTAGAAAATTCAGTGAATAGATGTCACAGGCCTCACTACCACAATCCAGAGACAATTGTCCCTTGCTTTGCCATGGACTTGGTTAGACATGGAGACCAAGCCATCTTTCCCTTCTAATGCCATGCTGAGGCATTTGACAAACTTGAACTATGGTTGTGAAATCTGTCTCTCCCACTTAAAACAGCAGACAATTCTAGTCTCTCAGGGTATCTAAGTCTGATCTTCCTCGCAGACATTAAATTCAGATTAGTAACTTTTTTTATCCAAACCAAATCCCAGTCTGTGCAAACTCTATTCACTTCTCTTGGTAACTTGAAGTTGCAGGCAAGGATGTTTTTCAGAGTGGACTAAAATACCACTAAAATCAAATTAAATATAAAGTAATATAGAAAAGATAATGTCTTTTCAATCCTACAAAGACATATGTCTTTTCAATCCTACGAAGACATATTGCTATGTAGTTTGCTGAATAGTGGTTCAAGGTAGATTCATGCCCTGCTGATATTCTCCAAGGAGTGAGGACTTAGCTTACACCCATGATTAAACAAGAATAAGGACTCATCTGCTTGATTACAGACAAAAGAGGGAGAGGTTAATACTGGAGGCAAGGCAAAACACTGCAGAGCACAAGAGTGACAGAGGTAGTTTTTATGCCTACCTGAAGCTCTCTGCCACATCTTACCTGAGAAACAGTAATTTTTTTTTGAAACTGGCAACTTCTTTGTATGCTAATTCCAAATTCACAAATGCAAGAAATTAATGGGTTTGATTTGCTCATATCTATGTTCAATGAATTCAGAAGAGGACTTTACCATACTTAAAACCCAAAGTATCTGGCCTTGTCTGTCTGCCAAACTGTGCTTATCAATTTCTTGTCTGGTAAGACTCCAATATTTTCTTTTTTCTTTCCCCTACATGATTTTTTCTTTTCTTTTTTTTTTTTTTTTCATTTTAAAGCATCAACCAGAATAATGGAAGTGTAGTAGATTGCACATTTAGGTGAAAAATAAACTTTCTTATACAGAAAAATGGGTTAAATCTGTGCATACTAAACTCAGCAATATTAAAGATAAAGCAAATCTAGGACTGTCACAAGCATAAAAACTTTCAAGGGAAAATTCTTGGTATTGTTTCTGTTCTTTTAACGCACGGCAATTGTCCTGCAGTGTATTCATTCTGTCATTCTGTTCCACTGCAAAACCTGCCCATTAAGGCCTTAAATTTCTTCAGACCACAGGAGAACCACTCTCCTCTACAGAGGGCAAGCTAAAGCTTTGTTATTGCCACCAAAGGATATTAGGTCTTCAGGCTGCCCCTTTGCCTTTCCTACTAGCTGCCTGCCTGCTGCTCAGGCAACACCTGCAACTTCTGTGGTCTGAGAGGAAAAATGGGATGCAATGTTGCACTTGGCCTTGCTATTCTTAAAAATGCCTTACAAAGACAGTAAAATAGTTCAGGTAAATCTCCGTGTTGAAAAGTAACTCTGCCCTGTGTGCTGTGTGTTTCTCATGTGCTCTGGTGGCAGAGTTTCCAAGCCTCCTTCGCCTCACCTTCCTGACTGTGCAAACCCTGCCAGCAGAGGCTTTCCTTGCAAAGGGACTGAAACAAGGGATTTGAGGAATAACTTGCTACTCTAGAGTTGGGAAAAAAGCATGATGTGAAGCCTGTGTGTTCAAATGCATGGACTAGACCTGTACTAATTATTCTATGACAGTCTATTAAGAAGAAACAGAAGCAAAGACCGGCTCTAATTCCCTACTACAGTGTACAGTATATGCCAAGATGCCACAGGCAGAGCCAAGTTTAACTGGTACGCTCCTCAGGTCACCAGTGCCACAGCCAAAGATACAGGAACAGATTAGGTCTACAGACTCACACAGCATCATCCTCCCTCAGAGACCAACAAAATAATAATAAAAAAAACACCTAAAGCTTCCTGTGCTTTACGGTCATCCTCTCTAGTAGTAATAGTAGTCATAATAAAAATATTTTTACACTGTTGATGACAATTGCACGCAATCCACAAAGTGCCTGGGTCAAGAAGGTGGATCCTGCCAGGGCTGACATGGGCCGATGATGTGTTGAGACACTGATGAGTAAGATTTGCATTAGTCCTCATGCCCCTGTCCCACCCCCAGCCCTGAACCCCCTGATCAACACCACTGAAATGAACGGTGTTATGGTCAAGGTGTGGGGCTGAGCGCAGTGTGTGAGAAAGTGGTCAACCATGAAGGAACACAATGCCGGGAAGAAAGGGCTGCCCCTTGCTGTCAGGACAGAACTACCCACATTTTAAACAGCTTTTAAAAAATGTAAAAAACCAGCCCCATTTCTTGTCACAAGTACCCAGAACATCTCTAAACACACAGAGAAATAGACAGGTATTACTGAAAATTTTAACCAGTGCTGAAGCTGCAAAACTGCTCTTTGTTGTAGTTGTTTGGATACAGAAGGGGCAATTTGCTGTAAATAAATATTAAAAAATATTTTTTCTTAAATGCTTGAGATATTATTTTTTTTTCTCCAGTCTCAGTGGTATTTTCCTGTCACTTGCTCCACCAGTTGTGCTGATCTTTTTACCCTATGTGTGCTCAAGCGTCCAACACAGAGTGTTCTCTCTCCACTGCAAGAGTCATCCCAGTCCCACCCTGGCCCAGCTCATATCCCACCCCAGGCCCCCTCCCCGTAGGCTTAGATAAGCCATTCCTTTTTGCTCTCGTCTATGGTCTCCGTGAAGTTGGGGTCATTGTTCATGATGGCGGCGTCGGCGCTCTCGGCTGACTCTGCCCCTTTGGCCTCGTTGGTGTGATAGGTTCCTTTGTGGCGAAACATGTAGCGGATCAGGAACACCAAGGTGCAGAGGATGGTGAAGATCACCACTGCGATGATGCCTACACACAGCAGGAAAGAAGAGATGATGCTGGTGAGACCAGCTACGGATTTTGACACAAAGAAAGGATCCCAAAACTCAGCAGTTAGGCGTCACCCAACTGCCCAGTTACTTGGTTTCCACTGCTCTGATATTTATACATAGGTTTTGTTGTATGCAAAATGTTACTCAATGAAGTCTGCTAGTGTCTTTCATCCCATAGGTGAACTTCAGCATTAATACCCACTTACAGATCTGAGCTTTTCTGACTATGAGGCAGTGGGTGCTGAGCCCTCCCAAATCAGTGGCGTGAAATGGTGATGTGTCACAGCCAGGGCAACTCTTTGAAGATGAGTCACTGATGTATACTTTCTAGTCAGTGGTTGTAAAGACCTATCGTAGTTCCTCAACATGTCCTGAAAATTGGCTTGGCTCACTTTTGTCTCACTCCGTCCACTAGGCACTGGCTCCACATAATTGCAGATGTAACTGCTTTATCATCTGTTCTACCCTTAATTGCTCTCCCTGCAATGGTCTGTATGGGGTTCAACCCTGTTATGGAGAAGTGTCATGAATGTTATGCTGCCAGGCTTAGGTGTCTATGTGATAAAACAACACTGTTTCTTTTTTGGCCAGTTTCTACAGGCATGGAAATCTTCAAGGATGAAGATATTATAAAACTGCCAGGTTAAAAAAATATTGTAATCAACCAGAATTATGTTATGTCACTTTATATTGACTGATGCATTGGACAAATAGGCTGTTCAGGTGTGGCCTGAATTTTTGTGACGAATGCAATGGTATCCTTCTGGTATTGTAAAGTTTCAAAATATTGAGGAAAATTTATAAGTAATAATCAAAATACAAATTAGAAAGGAAAAATAACATAGCAAATCAAAACTAAAGCAACTTATCTAAACCTTGATATGGAAACATAGACCCTTGAGGGGGCCACGGAAAAGAACCAAGAAATTTTATTAGTAAGTAGTACTATACTCAGTGTTTCCTTACATGGCAAAATCCACCATCGGGATATCATTTTATATGTATTTAGAACTGACTGAAAGCTAGTAGACTGATCTTTAATTTATTCTTTTTTAATATATGCCTTCAGATTTGGATGAAGTGGCAAAGTTTTCCCAGGATAGTTACAGTGCGACACTTCTACACTGTGGGACAGGACAGAGCAAACTACACGTGTGAATAAAATTAATCAAGACTCTTATTTCAGGCAGCAGCTGACCAGAATATTTTCAATGGAATACTGATTCACAGTTCCAATTCTGGTATTGCTTAATATCACCTATAACACTGAATGGGAATCTCCGGCACGTAAGTTATGGCAGAACTTGGGCCCTAAAAAAGAATGTAGGATCACGAGGGATTTTTGTCAAGGGTAGAGCAAATAGTGTTTGACATGATTTATGTTGATTCTGCTGTAGCTGGAAAAGCGTCCTTGCTATTTCATATAAATCAATTACTCTGTTAACACAAGTAACTACTACAAAGTCGCTCCCCACATGGATGGGGATATATGGATTATGAATATCAGTATTTTAATTTGTTTAAAACTGAATCTGAGGGGGCAAATTAAGTGAGAACAAGCTATTCACTATGACAGTGGGTTTGAACAGACCTACACGAAAATTGATTATCTTTGTTCAGGTGTCATTTTCCCACAGTCACCTCTTAGCAGACAGCTTGAGTATTTTACTAACAGCAATTCAGCCACCAGAGTCATACTGCAAAGTACATTAGAAAAGCACATGGTTTTCTTACCTCCAATAATAGCAGAGTTTCTGTTAACTCCATCTCCTATAGCTTGACCGTTGTATGGGAAATCAGCACTCGCTGTAGATAGAGAAATAAAGTTTGATGTTGAAATAGCAGTGAAACCTCTTTATGAAGTTCAGAAATACATCCAACATCCTCAGATACAATTAAAAAAAATAGTGATCCCTAGATATTTATCTAAATAAATATCTAAAAGAGTAAAAGAAAAAAAATTCTTTCACTATTAACTAATCCCTCAGAATGACTTCCTTCCTCCTCTTAACAAAAATAAAATTAAACTAAAGAGGTCCTCTTGGTAAGCATTGCTGTTAATACAGGACGTCACTTTGTCACTTTACTAACATAAATTCTTTTTTAAGTGGTAGGTTAGCACAAAGCCAAACAACCTTCTTTCTTTTAAAAGTGTGTGATCATAAATGTTATTAAAGAGGTTTTTGCCTTCAAGTTTCCTTTACAAACCAGTGATGCACTAAGTATACCCAAAAACTGGCTAAGGGAATTCAACTCGCTTTCTGTTAGTATGGAGTAAAATCCATAATAAAGTTCCTTTTGTATTGTAAAGCAGCTGCAAAAAAGAATGAATGGCTTCAGCTTGCCACATGGCCTGAAAAGAGGTTTTGGGCTGGAGCAGCCTTCTGTGTGCCTACTCTGGGAGAGAGTTGAACCAGCTGTGTGTTCAGCAGCCAGTTTTTGGCTGGTTGCCTGTGGGGCAAACAGGACTATTTCTCAGAGCTCAGTGGAGGTGGCTTGTCCAGCAGTTTTTACCAGCAGCACTTGTGCCTTTGACATTTGTTGGTGCTCTGCCTTCTTCTGCACCTCTCTGAAACAAATCAGGCTATAAACTGTAAAACATAAATAAAAAATACCTAGTTCTGTATCAGTGGATTTGTCTCCAGAGAACTGTGCAGGACCACTGATGAAGACATTTTGGTACAGGGTCCATACTCATACCCTTGCAGTGCTAAAAGTGAAGGGTTGGTACTGGGAAAATAAATCCCAGTTTTAAACCGGCCCTAATTGCTCTCTGCCATTCTAAACCAAAGGGAGGTCCCTTTCCGTAGGAGCAGTACCACAGGCAGTTAACAAGTCCTACAACTTGTCACTTGTTTGTGAGTTGGTGTCTTGTGTCCTCACACAAGAAATCTGAGTATTGGCAATGGTCAGAGTTCCTTCTTCCCTTACAACTGAATATGATGTTTTATCTTCTTTTAAGAGGTTATTTCAAGGACCGTGGCACTAGTGAACTGTGAAGAAAGGGGAAAGCTGCTGTTCGTTGCAGCATGATCCCTCCTCAGCTGCCACATCACAACGGCTACGCTACGAGGGATTCCTGACAGATGGAAGACCACAGCTTATGATGTTCAATAGCCACTGAAGTGCACTGCAGGATAATGAAGAACATGAAGCAGGATGTGAAGCTGCATCCTTGATCTTGTGTGAGAGCTGCCAGGAGGACTGGATCCAGTGCCTCCATCCAAAGCTGCTTTCCATTGAACCTGGTCATCTTACACACTCAGGAGAAGGTGTCCATTAGGTCAACAAGCAGATGAGATTCACTCTGCGACTTTCATCGCTGACAAAAGAGGAAACTGGAACATGTGTGCTAAGTGCCCTGTTTCAACTGCTGAAGAACCAGGAGTTCTGTTTCTGAAAATAGGATGTCATGAAAATAGGATCTTAGACTTTCATTCATCTTTTTTTTAAAAGCACCTGTGGCTGTGTTGGCAGATATTTTCAACATAGTTCATGAATTCTTGTTCTATTATTCTTGTGTCAGCAGAAGACCTTCTTGTATATTCATGTCTGGGTTTTTTTGACTGAAAAACTGCCTCAACCAAATGTTGGGTTATAGAATATATTTTGCTACAAAAGTATCTGTAACTTTTTTTCTTTACTTAATGTATTATTACAGATGGATAGAGGAGAAAAAACCCCAACTGATTACTTTTATTTTTTAAGGGAAAGTTGCCTTGAAATTTTTCTGAGCAGCACTCACTTCTCAAATGATCAGAAATAGCTACAGACCAGAGGTCTAAGAACCACAAAAGGGTAATTACTGCCACAGTAATTAGGCAGAAGAGAACATACGTGGGCACATTCCTTGATCCTCCAAGGTGAGCTTAACAGAGTACTGTCCCAATAGGCACCAAGTGCAGGTATTTCAGGTTCTAAAGAGTAACTCCTAAAATGTTTTAAAATGACTGGTCAGATAAAACTGATATTGTGACTCCCAAGTTTCATAGGAAATCATGATGGAATTAATAGCTCACATGGCTATAATACGCAGATGAAGCACAGGATGAGTTGTTAATGGACAAATGTGTGCCTTCATTTCTCTGTCGCAGCTGGGAACTTCTCTTTCCTGTTCAGATTCTTTCATTATCACTGTGACACTAACTCTAACTACATGTCTCTGCAAGCCTTTTTGCACTGCCTGATTCTTGTACCTTGACATCTTCAAATCATGACCTGCCCACAGCAAAAAGGTGCCACAGAGCTGCAGTTACTCTCTGTAGTCACCCTGCAAAACCCCTCTGGGCAGCAAGTGGGCTGTGAATGTAAGGTGAGTGTGGGGAGGTTACTGCAAGAGTTTTGCTACACACCATGCTACCTATTTGTTAGTTGAGGCCGTGAATAGGGCTATTCAATTTTCCTTTATTACCTGGTCTAGAAAGGTTGCCCTCAAACAGCTGATTCCCATCTGGTTTGAGAACTGTAATGGAAAGGTTTCTTTACCTGAGGAGTTTTTTTCTGAGTCTTCCCTAGGTTGCTCTGAGTAGCCCAGTGTCTCACTTGTGTGAATGAAAAGATGAAGAACAGGGAAAGGAGCTTTTTAATCTAGCCTGGAAAACAGCTACATATTGATCCGAGAAATGTTCTACCAGGTCCTTGAAATCCTCTGCTCACACAGCTGTGGCACAGAGCCATCAATCAGTAAGCTGTCAGGGCACACCAAAGACCTTTTCCTAAAACCTACAGCTGGTGTAGGGTTGGACTGCACCATACCAGGAAATGCTAAGCTCATCTGTGGCTTACTAACACCACTTCATCTGATTCCCTTCCAGAATCCAAGCTGCTGATGCTGTTTTTTGCACTCTGTCTTCCCACAGCAGGTCATCAGGTTTGCTTCAAACACCACCATCCCGAAGCTAACTTATGTAAAAGGACACAGCACACTTTGATTTCTCCTTCTTTCATGGGCTGCTGTTTACAAGGCCATAGTTTCAGTAAGCACAGAGTAAATCTATGGAGTCTGAACTTATGTTTTGCACTTTTCAACTTTCTGTTATTAGTCTCAGGGTAAATGGGGCTAAATAAACTTTGCAGCACCTAAAAGGGTGATTAAAGACTGACTGCAGGCAAAATCCAGATTTGGTCATCACTTTAATGACATTTGAAGATTTGGATGACCACAAAAATGCAGTAGGAGACCTTCCATCATTCAGCATGGTCATTGCCACAGCCAGCTGCAATACAGCAGCCCTCAATGAATGGGGACAGGGAAATGGGACTGGATAAACAGACCACAATTAGGATTAGATGTTAAAGATGACAGATGTGCTGACTTAGCTGAGTGAATTATAATTTTGCTTCATTATAGTAGGCGTGATTTTGCATCTGCCATTTTCAGAGGGAAATTTTTTTACAATGGATCCCACATAAAAACCTTTTGCTAATTCACAAAATTGAAATACAAAATCACCTTGAAGTAGAAAAGTAGTTCAGAAGGTGGGTGTGGACAGAGAAATGTTCAGCAGGCTACTCAGTAAAGGCAAGTGGAAACCCAAAACCAAACAGGGAGACTTTTCAGATAGAGAGCAGTAATGAGAAGTACACAGCAAATTTCATTTTGACGTTTTACTGAATTTTTTACTGAGTAGGCAAGTCTTAGTCAAAATTTACCACGCTGCAAAGGAAGATACAGGTTAGATTTTCTCCGAAAAAGAAGACTGGGAGTGATCACAGGTCTAAAAAAAAACCACCAATGGAAACATGAAATTCTTGAAAATTGAGTTTGTTCAGCACTAATGTGCAGCAAGACTGCTTTGACCTTTCATATTTACAGGTGTCCACAATTTTGAGAGGTATTATCCGATTATTAAGACCAGTTAGATTTTCACATAAATACGAACTAGAGAAGCAACCAGAACCATTGGATCTGGTGATCACAAGGTATATAAAACCCCCAACAATCAAGACTTTGATTAGAACAGTAAGAGAACAAAATGAAAGTCAAGATGTGAACTATAACTCCTTCTTCCTAATTCTATTTTGCAGCCAGGCATCCAAGAATTGACCTTGCAGTGACAGAAAATGTTCACTTACACCTTAGGATTACAAGAAAGTGTTGGACATAGGTGTATTCACTAATCTGTTTCTCCATAGGGCCATAACACAAGAGAAGAACAAAAGCAAGGTCTCTGGTTGCATTCTGTAAAATTATGTCAACTCTGCCATTCAGGTGAGACTGTACTGCTGTGGTTTGAAATTAGAGAGCACTCCTCATTACAGACTTTAAGTACAGAAACTAATTGCTTAACTGTTGATTGTAGAAATTAATGTACAGTCACATTCCCCTTTCTGAAGGGGCTGGATTACAAGGGAACTCTAAACACATGCACAGAAATGACAGAGCAGGAGTAAACAAGCCCATTACACAGTCCTTCATCAAAGGTGAACATCACAACCCTTAAGAGTCCAATCTCCCTTTCTTGCTTGTCACGCAGCCTGTACCCATCCCACCCAGTGCTCTCCTGATTTTGGCTCTGTGAAGAGCTCCTATGACAAGTAAAACTGCATCAATTCAGAAAGAAAAAAAAAAAATATCTGAAGCAGTATTAAAAAGGCTGTACCTTTTAATGCACATTTTATGTGTCTTTTACTTCGTATTGAAAATTCTTGTATTTTTATTTTTTAAATGAATACATCTATTTTTTTCCTCTACATCTCCAAGCTGAAAACTGAGTAAGGATGAAAACTATCTCTACTCCTTTTTTTCTAGGGATTTGAGAGCAGATTCTGATTATGCTCTGTTAACAGACTTAAAGTCCTACTGA